TTGGCTAATTTAAAAATTTAACTGTTGAAGATATTTTTTTATTTATTCATATTTCACAGGTTCTTACAAATGTATGGGTACCACCGCCAAATTATAGTTTTCCGATAACTGATAAAAACAAAAACCGTGGTCTAAGATTTCAATACAAATGGCTGACTGAATTTGAATGTCTAACATATTCCGAGTTGAAAATGGGTGCTTTTTGTAAATTTTGTACTGTTTTTGCAAAGTCTGGTGGTGTAAATAATCAGCCGTTAGGTCAACTTGCTGTTAGGGCCTTAGATGAATGGAAAAATGCCAAGCAGGTTTGTATAATATAGTACTTTTTTAATGTTTACAATATATCTTATTAATTGCTATGACTGTATTTTAGATTTTTCGTGAACATTCTAAAAAGCTTTATCATGGACATTGTGTCGTGGACTCTAACCATTTTCTTAGTGTTTATTCTAAACAAAAATTATCAATCATTAATCAGTTAGATTTAGAAAGGTTGGTTCTGATTTACTAACCATGTTTTTTTTGTATAGTATATCACACATGTACATAATACTACTACTAAGTAGTTAATAATTATGTACCTAATATGCAGTATTATTTTTAAACATAATTACTTACTTTATTTTATATCATTTTAATTAAGAGCTGAACAAATCAAATCAAATAGAAAAAAGCTTATCCCCATTATTAATTGTGTGATCTTGTGTGATCGTCAAGAAATAGCTTTGCGGGGTCACAGGGATTCTGGAAGTTAGTATTTTATGATGTTTATAAAATTGTATATATATATATATATTTTTAATAAATACTAAAATAAATCTATTCAATTTTTAAATAGACAGCAACAACCAATCAACTAATGTAGGTTATTTTAGAGCTATACTTAACTATCGGAGTGAAGGTGATGATTATTTAAAACATCATTTAGAAGAACAAGGAAGAAATAAATACATCACACCTCAAATTCAAAATGAAATAATTTCAGCATGTGGAGAAATAATTTTAAAAGAAATAGTAAATGAAGTAAATAACTCTCGTTGTTTTACCGTGTTAGCTGATGAAACCACTGACATAGCAGTTATCGAACAGTTAGCATTATGTGTGAGATATGTTGATTCAAAATATAATATTAAAGAAAATTTTCTAACATTTATACCTGTAAATAGCCTAACTGGGAAAAATCTAGCTGAATCTATTTTAAGTGGTAACTAATAAATAAAATATTTTATACTTTAGAATACTTTACTAAGATTTTATACTTAAGGATTAACTGAATGTGGAATAAACTGTAATTTCCTTTATGGCCAAGGATATGATGGTGCTAAAAACATGTCAGGCCAGTTCAATGGTGCTCAAACACATATTAGAACTACTTTTCCTAAAGCGATATATGTACATTGTGCAGTCCACTTATTGAACTTGGCTGTATCAACTGCGTGTAACATACAACCCATTAGAAACTGTTTGGGCATTATAGAGAAATTATATATTTTCTTCAATACACCTAAACGTCATAATGTATTATTATCTTGTATTGAAAATAGCAATATTGATATAAAAATAAAAAGCCTTAAAAGACTATGTGCTACAAGATGGGTACAGCGTTATGATGCTGTATATGATTTTGTGGAATTATTTGATTTTGTATTAGAAGCCTTAGAATTAATTTCAGATTGGAAAGATTCATCAGGAACTGCTATAGAAGCCAATATGCACGCGATTTGCAACTTGCTCGTTACACACGTTATCGTACGATCTTTTTAATTATGATCCCGTTATTATTTTGTATTCGAATACGACAAGTTTACTACGTAAAAATTCAAAATCACCTAGCTTATAATAATAAATAACTTATAAAAGTGCAACTGCGCTCAACGCGCGTTCTTTTCGAAATGTAAAAAATGTTTGTCCGTTTAAAACCAACTAATCACCGTTTATACAACAACAACATTATTCGTCGCGCTATCACTGCAACGTGCGTGACGACCTTTACTCTTAAGCAGGGGCGTCATTTGGGGGATTCAAACTATACATTGGCAGCTCTATTTTTTTAAATGTTTGGTTGGCCCGTATAAAATGTTATAATTGCGCCGTCATCGATAAAATGTAAGATGCAAACGCGCTGTAATGGTGCGAGTTTTTCATAAGAACCTATTGTCCTATTGGAGTATTGAAGAATTTTTTTAAGTTCCGCTAAATAAACAGGATATATAAATGGCCTGGTGAAGGGAACAATTGGCCTGATTCAAATGTTTGCATCCCTATTGAAAAGTTGAAATGACGCCCCTGCCCTCAAGATAATATCGCGGCATCCTAATATATCACCGAAACAAAAAAATAAAAATAATAATAATACACTATCTACCCATTTAAAAACAACTAATGATCTGGTAGATATTATCGAAAATATGGACGACGATTCGAATAATTGGAACGAAGTCAAATCATCAAAGGATGGTAAACGAAATCATAGCTCTTCTGAACTAAATACTCCGCGAACACCGGTGAAGAAAAATAGTTTTTTTTTCTGCAAATTGTTACGAAGTATTATCACAAAACGATCATGAGAATATGCTCCCAACGATTGATACAACTAATACTAATATTAAAACCTAAACGTTAATCCCTAAACGTTGAACCTAAGTTTGCTCTACTCCCATGAATATTCTTAAGACTACTACACGTTACATTTACTGATCTGTGCACAAAACTCATTGAGATTATTGGTGTCGACAATTTCCAATTATGACAACCAATTCAGATTCATACAGAACTCTGATCCGTTTCTTAAGAGAAGAAAAAGCTGAATTTCATACCTACCAGCTCAAAGAAGACAAACCAACTCGATTGTCATTCGCAATCTTCACTCAACTACTCCGCCGGAGTTAGTCAAATCTAAGCTCGAACAACGTCTTTTTGAAGTCAGGCAGTTCTCAGGCGTCTAACACAAAGTAAATAAAAATCCATTACCTCTGTTCTTTGTGGACCTCTAACCAACCAGCCAATCCAACGACATCTTCCAACTTACGTCCCTTTTCCACACAAAAATTAAGGTGGAGGAACTTTATAAGACTAAAACTTTTAGTCTATAGCATATATGCACTATGTGCCAATTATATGGACACACCAAATCGTACTGTGGCTATCCAGCTCGTTGTGTTCGCTGCGGTGGTCATCATTTATCAGCAGACTGTCCGAACATCCGTGATTCCCCACTTAAGTGCGCTCTCTGCTCTGGCGATCACCCATCAAATTACAAAGGATGCTCAACGAAAAAAAACATCCAAAATCAAGTCATCACTTATCTAATAATTTAGCTCTAAAAATACTTATGTACAAGATACCCACACAGTGAAAGCCTTCACAACACACCCTTTAGAATCGATTCCCACCTACACCCAAGCTACTTCCAATTCTCATTCCAATCATACGGTACCTTCACCTACTTTAGACATAAACAAAATAATGTCAACCTTCATTGATGAGTTTAAACAATTATTTAAATCCTTAATCGCCCTACTAACCAAAGTAATTTTAAAACTTCTAGATTAAAAATATGTCTTCTTCCACAAGCAACTCACTTCTGAGGCTCCAATTTGATGCTAACTGCCTCAAAAATCACCAAAATGAATTACAGGTAGTACTATAGGAAAAACGTATCGATATATTGCTCTAATATCAGAAACGCACTTCACTAAATATTCCCATGTTCCCATAACTGGGTATAATCTTTTAAAAACTAACCACCCGGATAATATTGCGCATGGAGGTGCTTCAATTTATGTCAAAGTCTCCCTGGTATACCAAAACCTAAAATCTATGTTACGGGCAAAGTATACAATGTGGGTATTTTATACAATTCCAGGGCATTTTATACATTGCCGGACCTAACCTGGACAGTATATAAAATTCCCTTCGTACATTGGGCAATATAGAAAACAGATGATATGAGTTAATGAAATATGATAAATCGTAAAACATACTTAAAATAAATAATAAGTAATTTAAGAACTGAAGAAGACCTCGAAGAAGCTCTGAATTCTATTTCTACTGTATCGAAATGTAATAACGACATCGATAACAAAGAAGGTACCTATATCTATGTAGTAATAATAATAATAATAATAATAATAATAATAATAATAATAATAATTATTATTATTATAATAATAATAATACCTTTTAATTATAATTTTAGATTTTTAGTTTCCGTTTTTGAGTAATAATTATGTTATATACTTAAATAAAATTAATCAATGTATTTATTTTATTTTAGCTGTACCTTTAAGAATAAAAGCTATTCGTAAAAATAGAATAGAATCACTTAAAAATTTGAAAGTTCAAGCTATAAAAATGAAGCAAGCTTCTGAGAATCGTTTTTGTCCCGGCGAAGTTGGTCAGTCAGTAACGGTTAAAATTCCAGACGTTGATAGGGCTCGTAGTGATTTTAAAAACATTATTGGAGTTATTCTTTCAGGTACTCAAAAATATTTTACTTATATTATTAATATTTATAATTAATATTTATTATTTATATTTATTCTGCTTTTACAGTTAACAATAATGTGTACGAAATTGGGTCCAAGGAAGGCCGCCTTTCGACTCTGTACAGTAGAAACCAATTTGTAATTTGTAAAGAAATATTTCTACAATAGAAGTTGATGATGTGCCGCACACCAAAATTTTACTCTGAGAGGCAGCACGGAAATCTTCAAATTTGGGTGGTCAAGACTACGATTGATGTACATATGTACAAAAATGTAAAACACGGAAGTGCAAGTGTAAAACAGCGGAGTGGCTATGTTCACAAAATGTCACGGAAGCAGTACATGCGACAATAAGTGATAATAAAATTAAAAAACTTATTATATTTTCTAATAATATGTCATTATTCATTAAATCATATCATCCGTTTTCTATATTGCCCAATATACGAAGGGCATTTTATATACTGTCCAGGCAATGTATAAAATGCCTAAAATGTATACTTTGCCCGTAACATCTACATTACATGCAGATACATCGGTACATTTATATGTTTTGTTTCTACTGAATACAGTTGACATAAGAATATCAACGTCGATTGGGTATTAGATACGAGGAGACGAGGATTTAACTGTAGATAACTTTTTTGACACGTGTAAAAAATAAAAAAAGTTTAGTAAATAATATAATTATAATCTATTCCAAATAAGTCTGGAAAAAATCGCGCTTGCAGATCCGCTGTGATTGGCTACGGATTTGGCATGCGTCGTGATGGGTGGGCGGTCGGAGCTCGCCGCTGTGTATATAGAGTGTTAAAATAATAATGTTTCAAGCAGCTGCGGATTAAATTTATATAAATTATAATTATAATTATAATTTAAATAAAACAAATAAATAAACAAATAAAAACGCCGAATGCAGGTTAAATTAGTGTTTACGTGGAGTAAGTTGTCAACTGGTCGTAGGCAAGCGAAGTGGTGATAGTTTAAAAAATACAGTCAGGCTGTATACATTTGAATCGTCGATAACAACGCTCGCCACCGTTAGATCACGTGATATACCTGCGCGAAACCGGACGCGTTCTCGTCGTACTTTTTTCAGACTTATTTGGAATAGACCAGCGGTTCCCAAACTTTTTAAGTTCACGCCACCCTAAAAATTAAAAAAAATAATTGCGCCTCCCATAAAAAATTAAATTATAAATTTATAGTATTTAAATATACAAACACTTTTATTTTTATGAAAATATAAGTTAACAGTAAATATTATTAAACTTCAATTTAAAGTATTACAAAATACAATGCGTATTAATATTTAAACTTAATGCGAACAATGTGCTTGTTTTCTGTTTAATAATTCTTCAAAATTAGATAGCAATGTTGTGACAGCCACACGCATTTCTTTTTCAATATTAAATTTTGATCGATATTTTGATTTCAAGTAGGCGTAGGGAAAGTGGCGCCCCCACCGCCCGATGCATCTTAAAAATGCATCGCAATAGCCCTACCCTGACCTTAATTGGTTGGGGTAGTCTGGTCCTCCAGGTTGGGGGTTTCTCGTAGGGCTAACCACCCTACAGTGTTAAAATAACCTGGTTACGAAACAACTACAAAATATGCCTCGGATGGAAAATGTGGAGCTTAAGGATTTTACAACTGGAACCTGGAACGTACGAACATTATATAAACCTGGAAATCTGACGACAGCGATATTGGAACTTGAACGATATCGGCTGGACATTATTGCGATTCAAGAAGTAAGGTGGACGGGAGAAGGAAGCTTAAAAACTGGAAATTGGACGGTATTCCATAGTGGGGGTGATGAACATCAGGGTGGGGTTGGTTTCATTGTGAATGACAAAATATTACATAGAGTTAAGAAGTTTAAGGCAGTGAATGACAGAATTTGTCATATGGAGCTGGAGTGCCGATGGTTTAATGTGATATTAATTAACGGATACGCCCCAACTGAAGACAAAGAAGATGAAATCAAAGATATTTTTTACGAAAATTTGGAAAATGAGTGCGACCGGATACCGACCAACAAGGTAAAAATCTTATTGGGAGATTTTAACGCAAAAATAGGGCAGGAGGTAGAGTATTGACCAACAATTGGGAAGGAGAACCTGCATAGAACATCAAATGATAATGGCACAAGATTAGTTAATTTTGCTACAACCAGAAATATGATAATAAGTAGCACCACATTCCCACATAAGGATATACACAAGGAAACCTGGGTATCACCATCAGGACAAATAAAAAAACCAAATAGACCATGTTGTAGTGGACAGACGTTTCAAGAGATGCGTCATGGATGTCCGGAGCATGAGAGGTAGCAGCGCAATGTCCGATCATTTTATAGTAAGAGCAAAAATCAAGCTACGTCTGTCAGTTGAATGGAGAAAAAAGAACGTCTCTATCAAAAGGTTTAACATAGAAGACCTAAAAAACCAAGAAATCAATATACAGTACAAGAACAAACTAAAAGAGACCTTGAATCTGACGGAGAATTCAAATAACGTAGATAATAACGTAGATAATCTATGGAATGAGATCGAAAACTCGATTAAAACGGTGGCCACAGAAGTCCTAGGATTTGAAGAAAGAAGAAGGGGGAAAAAATGGTTTGATGAACAATGTAAAAAAGCGAATAATGAAAGAGATATTGCGCGAATAAAAATGCTAAAAGACCCAAGTGAGGAAAATAAGAGAGTACTATCGGCTAGACAAAGGGAAACTAAACAATTGTTTAGAAAAAAGAAAAGAGCATGGGAAAATTCTAGACTTGAAATAATAGAAAACAGCTATAAAAACAACGTAAGACTTTTTTTTGAAAAGGCGAATGAAATTAAGAATGGATTTAAGACAAAAGCAACAATTATAAAGGATGAAGAAGGATTACTAATAACGGATAAAAAAAAGGCTGCAAACGAGTTCAGGAACATGTTTGAAACAATGCTGAATCAACCTACTCGAGTAGAAGTGGAAGAAAACCTCAACACGGTTGAACAGAGATTAGACGAACCCACGTTAGAAGAAGTAGAAAGGGCATTAAATATGTTGAAAAATAGGAAAGCACCAGGGGAAGACACAATTGTTGCAGAACTACTGAAAGAAGGAGGAAAAGAACTAATGACACGACTGAAACGACTAGTAGATAATATATGGAAACAAGAAGAAATACCAGTAACATGGCACATGTCAGTTCTATGCCCGGTTCACAAGAAAGGAGACGCTATGGTTTGCCAGAATTACAGAGGAATATCCTTACTAAACACTTGTTACAAATTAGTTTCGAACATCATACTGAACCGTATCAAGCCATACGCAAGGGAAATAGTAGGGGAATATCAGGCAGGTTTTACGTCAGGGAAATCTACAGTGGATCAAATTCATACAATAAAACAAATAGTAGAGAAAAGTCACGAGTTCGACATAGATGTGCACCTACTATTTATTGATTTCAAACAGGCATATGACTCCGTAAATCGAGGTAGATTATGGAAAGCAATGACCCAACTCGGAATCCCTACAAAATTGGTGAGATTGATAAAGACATGTGTGCAAAAGTCCAAGTGTATAGTTAAGTTCAACGGAGAAATATCTGAAGATTTCTCAGTTGAAACAGGTCTTAGACAAGGAGATGCGTTATCCCCCACATTATTTAACATAGCCCTAGAATCGGTAGTGAGAGAAGTACTTGATAATGATGTCACGGGCCTAAGAATTAGAGGAGGACACCAAATCACACTAGCTGCGTATGCTGATGACATAATAATTATGGGAGAAACCGAAGAGGACCTAAAACGGTCGGCAGAAAAACTAATAAGTAAGGGAAAAGAGATTGGACTACAAGTTAATGAAGGAAAAACGAAATACTTAATAGTATCACGTAGAGAACAAGTACAAAATTCGTTAGTAGTCGGTGGATTTACCTTTGAAAGGGTAACAAACTTTAAGTACCTGGGAGTAGATGTTAACCAACAAGCAAACAGCCATGATGAGATTAAAAGGAGAATAACTGCAGGAAATAAGAGCTATTTTGCGCTCGTACCTATATTTAAATCAAGATTAATCTCCAAAAATACAAAAATAAGACTATATAAAGTACTCATTAGACCTATAGTATTGTATGCTTGTGGAGCATGGGCATCAACAAAGTCGGACGAGAAAAGATTACTACTATTTGAAAGGAAAATACTGCGAAGAATTTATGGACCCAAAAGAAACGAGGAAAATGTATATGAACGAAGAACTAATGCAGAATTAAGGGCAATGTTCAATGAGCCAAACATAGTGGGAATACTTAAAAGCAGACGAATAAGCTGGGCCGGGCATGTATGGAGAGCGGAGGGCCAAACAGTATATGATGTCACAATGTGGAAACCAAATAAAAAACGACCGATAGGAAGGCCAAGACAGCGATGGACAGACCGGGTTAAAGAAGACCTCAAGCTCCTGGGGATTAGAGAAGGAGAACAACTGGCGAAGAACAGAGAAGTGTGGAGAGGTGTAGTAGAAGCGGCGATGGACCTTCAAGGTCCGGAATAAGCCAAAAAAAAAAAAAAAATTTTGATTTCAATACAGCAACTGCAGAAAAGCCTGCTTCGCATAAATACGATGTCGCAAATGGTAGTAGTACACGCAAAGCTTTGTTGGATATTTCAGAATATTCATCTTTAATGCTGCTCCAAAATTCTAAAAGTGAAAATGAAGAAAATTTCATTCGTAACGAAGAATCAGATGAAATATCGATTAATTGTTCTTCTTCAGTAGTTGTAAAATTTGGTAATGGGTTTTCACTAAACGGATCTTTAATCCAATTGTATTGTACGATGTCTTCTGGAAAATATTTCTCGAAATGATTTTTAAGAGTCATCAGATGATCAGAAATTATGTTTAGTGAGCTCATTGGTAATTCAAGATCATTATCTTCAAGAAAACTTTTTAAAAATGAAAAACACGTGGTTTTACCGTTTTCTTCGGTTAGTTTCCTTTGCCATAACTCGATTTTTTTAATAAAAGCAACCACTTTATCATATAATTGCAGAATATTAGTTTCTTTACCTTGTAAAGATGTGTTGAGTATATTAAGTTTTTCAAAAATATCACATAAATACGCTAATTTAATTACAAAATCACTATCAATAAACTTGTTAAAATCATTATGACCTTCTTCACTCAAATAAGTGTAAAGTTCTTGTCTAAGTTCGAACACTCGTATTAGTACGTTTCCTTTTGATAGCCATCTAGAATTACAATAAAACAGTAACGCAGTATGCTCTGCTCCCATTTCTTCACATATTTTTTTAAAGAACCTTGCTTTAACAGGCCTTGTTTTTA